CACTGCAACATCTAAAATGGTTTGAACTAAGACACTTTGATTATCAACATTGTAAAATAGTAATGATAATAAAAAGAGAGTGTTCCTTCACTTGATCTTCAAGAAAGAGAGTCTCAGGATGGGTGAACCTGTATTTCTGGATTCAAATCAATGAAATGACAGTTCCTGTCCCACAAGGTTCTTAAGGTCAAGGGTTTTGACCTTAGGCTTAGTTTTGACATCAGGTTAAGTCCACTACAATACATTCTCTCAGTTTAAACTTTTGATCTGTGATTTGTGTTCTATTCTGAATAAAATATTAGATGTTGGCACCTCCACATCATTGCAGTCAGTTTCTATTCACAATTTGTTTAGTGTCCCAACTTTTTTGGAATCCGGTTTGTACACAAGTACAATGAAATTAAGAGCCACTCCTTTTTTCAGTGCAAAAACATGCTTAAGAATAACGCACACTAAAAATATAAAAAATGTAATGCCATATAGATATAATAGCACTATGAAAGTAAAAAATACAAGTATTTCACAATTATATTGCGCATTATGGAAATTAGTGAAGCAGATAGCTAAGCTCAAGTCCGTCCTGTCCAGATCCGACCTTGAAAAATGAGTCCATGCATTTATTACAACCCACTGGACTACTGTAACTCGCTTTATACTGGGGTCAGTCAGGTCTCTCTCTCGCGTCTCCAGCTCGTCCAAAATGCTGCAGCTCGGCTACTAACAGGAACTCGCAGGTTTGAGCACATTACTCCAGTTCTGTCCTCTCTTCACTGGCTTCCTGTACGTGTCAGAGTTGATTTTAAGATTCTTCTGCTGACATTTAAGTGTGTTAATGGTCTTGCACCCTCATACCTCTCCGACCTCCTTCATCTTTATACTCCTTCTCGGGCCTTGAGATCATCAGACCAGCTGCTTTTGGCCGTACCAAAAACCAGCTGAAGCTCAGAGGAGATTGGGCGTTTTTAGTCAGGGGCCCTAAACTCTGGAATAATCTGCCCATCAACATTTGACAGGCCACCTCAGTCTCTATTTTTAAATCTCTCCTCAAAACACATCTGTACTCATTGGCATTTAACACAGTGTGATCTCATTTGGTATTTCATTGTTGATGATTGTGTTCATCCATTTTGATTTTACTCCTTGACATTTAACGCAGGGTGACTTGATTTAGTATTTCATTGTTTCTCATTATATTTAATTGTTCTTATGCTTTTATTCATGTTGCTGTAATATCTTGTTATTAATATTTGATGCTGTGATTTTTTTGGTAAGCACTTTGATAACTGTTGCTGATTATATGTACTATATAAATAAATGTGACTTGACTTGACTAGTTAAGGTGATTGAGAGTATGAAATGTCAGTAGTATTGCACAATAGAATCCAGGGGTTTGGGAGGTTAGATTATTAAATCAGTGCATGTGTGAGTTCAGTGTGGTGATGGCTTTCAGGAAAAAACTGTTCTTGAATCTGTTTGTTCTTGTTCTGATGCACCTGTAGCACTTCCCTGAAGGTAACAAGTCAAACAGTTCAATGATGTTGATTTGTGTTCTCTTTATCCCCTCTCTTTCTCCTCTATTCCTATCTCCTTCTTTACCTTTTAACCCTTCTCTCACTTTTCTGCTTTATCTTCTTTGTTTTTCATCACCATGTCCATTACATCTGAAACAAGCCCAAAGCAAATTCTAATAAAATTTAATTTATAAATCAAGTGGAGTATTAAGGCCAGCCATAATGCTCTGCTTGTGAAAGTAAATCTGTTGGGAATCACTTTGACACTCAGACAATAATTCTAAGTGTCAAATGCTGGACATGACAAGGGGAAAAAAAAGGTACACCCTTTGAGGATAAAATCAGAGGAATAACTGAAGGGACTGACTTCCTGTTTGAAAAAAGAATCCCTTTGGTTTTATCGGCATTTAGGACAAGTTTGAGACGGAACAATCAGACTGGATGATGTTAAATGCAGATTTCAAAAGCTGGAAAGCCTTAGCAACAGTTTTAGCTTGACAATAAACTGTATCATCAGCATAGAAATGTAAGGATGCATCAGGGATGTTTTTACCTACATTATGTATGTAGATTGTAAAGAGGGTGGGTCCTAAGACTGAGCCTTGTGGTACACCATTGTTGACTGTTAAATAACTGGAGGAAGTACCATTATGTTGAACACATTGCCTCCGGTCTGAAAGATAGTTAGAGAACCAACCAATGATGTGATCTGAGAAACCGATTTCTGAGAGTTTATGACACAAGATGTTCTGATCCACAGTGTCAGAATCTTTAGACAGGTCTAAGAAAAGTGCAGCACAATAATCCTTAGCATCCAGTGCTTCAACAACGTCATTAAGAACCTTCAGTGAAGCAGTGGTTGTGCTGTGTTGTTTCCTGAAACCAGATTGATGTGGAGGTAAGATGTTAAATGAGTCCAGGTCATTTTTGATTTGAGAGTTTATCAGTTTTTCTAGAACCTTGGCTAAAATGCAGAGTTTAGAGATTGGTCCATAGTTGTTCAGTGAGGGGGGGTCACCTCCCTTCAGCAAAGGAAGAACAAAGGCTGTTTTCCAAATGTCTGGAATGGAGTTTTGGTTTATGGAGAGATTGAAGATGTGGGTCACAGGGACTGTGATGATATGAGCAGCCAGCCTTAAGAAATAAGGTGGAAGTTCATCTGGACCTGCAGATTTTTTAGGATCAAGATCTTTTAACAGTTTATTGACCTCACTGACTGAGAATGGAGAAAAAGAGAAGGTGTGATTAACTGAGGATTGACTTGTAGGAGGGATTTGATTTGTAGAAGTTTGGTTATTAAGTGAAGTGGCTGATCTTCCGTTAGTAACTGTGTCAAATAAAGAACTAGAAGCAACAAAATGTTTGTTGAAACAGTTCAGGATCTTGTGCTTATTAGACACAAGAACAGAGTTAACAGAGTTAAAGAGTTCATGTTAAAGTTAACATGTTCGACCTATGTCAACATCACTTATTTTCACCTGGCTAGATGCTAATATGTCGGGGAAGCATAATTGGTCGGTGAGCAATATAACATTTCTACTAGAAGTAAGACTAAAAGCATGCGTTGCTTCACCTGCAGCTCAGTCAAGGAGTGCAGTAACGTCTCCACCGTCATCAAAACCTGGCGCGGGTTCATTTTGCGTGCTCTGGTTTGTTTATGTTCATCACGGAAGTAGAACTTCTTCTGTGTGTTTTTTTTTTAGGAAAGTTTAACACTCTGCGCAATGTGCGCATGCCAGTACATCTATTATGAATAGAAGCACGCTGCATGTAAACTTTTGTTATGTTTGGATTGTGCCCATGTAAACAATACATTAGGCTTATTTAATCTGAATACATTTCAATCCGATCAAAGAATTTTGCACATGTAAACATAGCTACAGACTCTCACTGGTACATTTTCATCTTTAAATCACTTCTTGGTCTGCTGC